GACTCAGGGAAAACCTCGCCTTTTAATCTAACTAAGAAGTAGGTCCCATTTGAAATGGCTTATTCTTCTTCGGACTCGGATGCCCACAAAGCAGTATTCTTCCGCGGATTAAAGAGTGGATTCTTCTTGTCGATGGACATCGTTGGAATAAGTAAAATAGGGAAAAAAAAAATCTCCAGTCTCCACCTGTCTCTCCCATGCCAAATTCACCACTTTTGGCACCTCAAAAACTTCCAACACTTTTTGGTAGGAATAAGCCCCTTGTACAGGGAGCCAAGGGCAATTTACAAGGGCTGAAATGGCAGCAATTTTTTCTTTTTCATTTTTTTTCAGCTGCCAATGAAAATCTACCAAGTGGCTAATCAAAGACATTGACCTAAGTTCAGTGACCAAAACTCGACATTTTAAAGTTCAGTAGTCAATCAAAGACATAGGCCTAAATTCAGTGACTATTGGAACAATTAACTTGGATCTGGCAATGTAGCACAGTTGTTTTTGGTATGTCAAAATGCAAAAGTGATTTAACATGTTCAATCTTCTATGATTATATAAACAAATTACTTGTTTATAGGACTTCAAATCACAACTCATAACTGGATAGAAAATAGCAAATGACGTGGAAGTTGATGGATGGATATTTTGGTAGTTTAAAGACAAAAATTAGCTGTCAGCTTAACTCTTGTTCTTGTTGAAAACCCTAAAAAACTAAGTGTGCAAAGCCGGCCAAAACCCACGGCCATAGGAATTTCGACGAAGAATAAAATCAGATTTTCAAGGTTATTAATCTCTTTACTGTTTGTAGATAAAAGATTTTATTCCTCTACTAATTTTATTGTTTGTAGAAGCTTTGCTGGACCTTAATTCATTCTTTGCTTAAGATCGTGCAACGGACGGTGCAACCCACAAAGTACATGTACTGAAGGTCCTCGTAGGATTTTCCTCTTTATTAGTGTTAAATGAGAGAACGTGATTGTCAAGGTTATTAGGTGCACAAGATTGTTAAGGTATTAGTTGCACAACATTTGAGCTTTGGATTGAAATTATGACAAGTAGAATGTATAGCATAATATCTATTTTTCTAGTTCAAATAAAAATACAATCATATAATTTTCTGTAATGACCTAATTTTTAGCCCCCATTTTCTAGAAATGAAAATTAGTGGAATAGTGTTTTTTTTTTAATATAAATGAGTGGTTGAAAAAAAAAAGGAAAAATTTTCGATTTACGTGCAATATTTTTTTTTTAAAATTGTGTGGTTGAAAATAAGAGAGAAAAATAGAATGTAATGGAATATAATTTAATGGGGGCCAAACGGGGGCTAAGTTGACATAAAAAGTGTACTAAATATTCAAAAAATAACTAATAATCTTATCTAGTATCATTGATATTGTAACACCAATTTAGTTAGTGTTATGCGATATATTCAATGAAAGGTAGAATTAAACTACTCATTTAATTGTACTTCTCATTTAATGTTACATTAGTATTACTTAAGCTAATATTTTAACACTAGTGGTGCTAAATAGAATTACTCTTATTTCATGATTGCTAAAATACAAAGTTTCCTAGTGATATTGTTCTAATGACCGTCGTGTAATATAAGTGGTGGTCATGAATATCAAGATTATCACTTAATAAAGTGCATGACATTATCGTTTGTACTTATTACTGCATACATAGAACTAACCTAGACGACAATTAAAAATATCTTTTAATTTTCTTCTTCATAATGGTGTTGTCATATGACAATTTACTTTAGCAAATAAGTCTTGAGTTCACTGCCATCTCCTCAATTGCATATATACCATGGTTTGTTTAGCAAAAAAAGAAATAATAATAGAATCAATAGTTAATTTTATTCGTATATTTACTGGATTCAAGACTTTTATCAATTTTTTAACTTTATATTTTATCAAATTTATAATAATATACTAAAAATATAAATTTTATTAAAATACAATAGGGACATAATAATGCGTATAATATAAAGTGCTTATAGGCTTGTACTCGAATCAACTACAGTGTACCCACACCAACTGCTTGGCAGTACCAAGAAATGGTTCATACGTGTACTCTTATATTAATGAAAAAAAGCTGCCACAAGGGGGAAAAATGCGATAAATTAAATCTTATAGAAACGGAAGCAGTCTATTAATACGACGCGTGGGACTGCGCCAACCGTAAGCAACGGCGGAATAAAAGGTTGAAATTTGCAGCTGATGACTAAGTTCATGTAATCTGATGATAAATCCCAAT